CATCACAGCTGACCCAATAACACACAAAGGGAGCTGATTTGCCTTTGGAATGACCGGGTTTGCAACCATGGAAATGTGTTTCCCTTCCCCCTTCTCAAGGAAAGCAGCAGAAATACAAAGGCACAAGAACAGAAAAGTTTGCCTGCTCAGTGGCTCTGGAGTGAGCAGGGGATATCAGCTGGGAGGGACTGGCCAAGAGTGTCCAAAGTGCCCAACACAAATCCTGTGCAAGGGATTGACAGCTTTAAAGGCTCATGCATGTTAATCTACTTAACTGAATTGCTATAAACTTGGCCCAGCTTTTAAACCTCGCTACTAAACAACCCTGATTAGTTTAAGTCATTCCAGCATAACTTTTTCAGTGAGAAGAATTTAGTTTTTCTGTTGCAGAAAATGGTAAGTTCTGCTTGGTAGTAAAGCTCGTGTTCCAGGAAGTCAGAGCCTGAGAAAACCTCAATGTATTTTCACCTCGTGCACCCTCTGAGCTTCAGGGGTTTGTTTTCTTCGATGGGAAAACACCGATACTTTAATGCTTAATCACAGCAGAACAAAATATTCACACCTTTAATGAAACATGCTCATGTAGTCTGTGGCTCACTTTGGATGCTCATCTCACCCGGGGAGATCAGGGACGCCCTGATCTTGTCACACACCATTTCTCCGGGTGATTGCAGCCTATTTTCCAAAGGAAATGAAAAAGCCTCCTTCAGACGTGCAACAAAATTCCCGCAGCTAAGTAGGGAACCACTTTCACGGTTGCTTTGGGGCTGCCTCAGCCTTTCCCTTTGCCGGGCTGGTTGCACTGTGAACAAGAGCTGTCCTTTGCTGAAGCTGCTCTTGCTTTGCAGTGTTTCACCCTCCCCCATCCAGCCCCTCCGGGCTGTGGGTTTATTTTCCTGCTGCGGATGCAGGGCGGCAGACGAGCGGCTCCCGGCAAGGCAGAGCACATGCTGGAGAGAACAAGCAGCCTGGCTTCAATCCCACCCCTCCTGCCCGTGTTAAGCCCGGCACTGGTGGCAGTGAAAGGTAAAGCCGGTGGCTCTTCACTCTCTGCTTTAGTCATCAGGACAGAAAACATTTCCTTCTCCCTGTACCTACCGGGAATAGCTACAGGAACACACTGGCAGCATCCTGTTGTTCTGAACGAGAACTTTCCCTTTGCTATCCACAGTGTGTCCTGCCTGGCTGGGAGAAGCTCTCTGGACACACAGCAGGGCTTTTGGGGGGTCACTGGGGCACAGTGCTCAGTCACACTCACCCCTGCTGCTCACAGCACATCGCTGGCTGAAAAAACACCTTGTTTTATAGGAGGTTTTATAGGAGTTTTGGAGAGGATGCCTGGCTCTCACGCAGGTGAATGTAGGAATAATGCTCTCCCCTCTCTCACCTCCCCCCTACTTTCCTGTGGCAGCCCCCCCCTCACTCTGCAGCCCCCAAACTTCCCGAAGTCCACAAACAAACACAATTCCATAATGAGGCGCTTAAATGCACCAACACACTCTTAAATGCAGAAGCTGCTGTTGCTAATAGAAACACATGCTCCACTTCTATAGAGACAGTTTCCTCAGGAATTGGTGCCAACACGGGGCCTCATCCTGCACGGTGCTGGTGCTCAAAGGGAGCAGAGAACCACGGAGGAGGTGCTGAGCATCTTTCCATAAACACCCCGTTGAAAACAGGCAGTATCTGCTTCAGAAGCAGATCTTGATTTCCCTATAGTGTGAAATAGTAACAGGAAGGAGGAAAACATTCCCCAAAACAGGACAGTTGAGCAAATGCTCTGAGAGAAGTCACCAGTTTGCAGCACACCAGCAATGTCACATTTGATATTGTGGTGTCTCTTTGCCACTGTTGGCTGTCAGCTTCAACATCAAAAGCTAGAAACCCATGGGGGTTAAATACTATCAAGGAATTTATTTAAGCATTTATCACATGGCACATGGGTCACAGAGCTCAGGCTCTGCCTGTGTCTGTACTCACCTGGGAATCTCGAGGGATCCCTGAGGGCTTTCCTGCAGCTGTGGAAAATGATGGAAGCTTCCTCAGTTGTGACATGGGCGCATGCACGACATGGGATTCCCTGGGCATGGAGGTCCCAGGGGTTACAGGAATGAGAATGAGCAGGTGGAAATTGGAAGGCATGAAATATCCTGCCATTTTGGGGGTTGTAGGTCCTTGAAACCTGCACCTGGTTGTAGGATCTCCAGTCTTCCAACCAACTGAGTGGGCCAAGCCCTGCACTCTCTCAGGACACCTCATGCCCACCTCCAGGGAGGAGGCAGCTGTCCATGGTGCAGCCACAGCCCCTGCCCACCAGTCATGCAGTGCATGATCCCATGTCCATCCAATTAACTGGAATATCCCACTCTGGATTAGCTCAGCTGTAAAGTCTCCCCCTGCAGACCCTCTGGCTGAAGGATGCCATGGGATGGGCAGGCAGGGAGGGCCATGGGACACCTGATCACAACCAGAGCTGGAGGAGACCTCCAGGGTCCTCTTTGCCATCTCCACCCCAAAGACCACACCAACTCCACGCCTGGCAAACGCTTCCCCAGCCCTCAGAGACCCCAGTGACAGTGTCTCCAGCCCCACTTCCCCAGCTTCATGTCTGTGCTGTCACCCCACCAGTCACTCAGCTGTCTCTTGCCACCCTCCCTCCCAATCAATCATGTTTTGTCTGTCTTCTTTCATTTTGTTCTGTTCCTTTTTCTGTTCCCTCCCTGCCTGTTCTTTCTCTAATTCCTGACATTGATTTCAACAACTTTTGTTCCTCCCCGTCCTTCTCTTCCTTTCCCACTCCCAGATCCTCCTCATGCCTATCTCAAACACAGCCCAGGCTGTGGAAAGAAATCAGCTCTGAAAACCTTTCCAAACTGTAGTTTGGAAAGAATCTCAAACCCAAATAACAAATGTTTATTTTAATTAGTGATAGACCACTGGCCTGGTATTAAAACTGACTGAACTGACTCCTGATTTGTCAATGAGGCTGCTGGATTCTTTCATTAATTCCAGCTGAGAAAAATGGCCCACAACAGACTTGGCTCTGCACATAAACAGCACCTCTAATTACAGAGGCAAGGTTAAGGCAGTCTGCTTCTGCAGCCTGTGGTTTTCCAGGCTCCTAACCTGGCCCTGGTGGGACCTGCACAACCAAAACTTGTGCTCTTTGCTCCTCAGTGAGTGTCTGATGTGCAGCAGAGCTCCAGAGAGGCAGGAATGCACTACTAAGCCAAATGAACTGGAAATGGAAAAACACTTCCCACTTCTCACATTAGTTTTCCCATTAGGTAACTGCAGTGAACCAGGGAGCTCAAGCCCTCAGTCCTGTGTGCAGTTACATCCTGGGACTGATACAAGTCCTTCCCCAGTCTCTGGGCAGACAGGATGTCTGTGTCAGGGTCTGTCTCAGGCATCCTCAATGGGCAAAAATCAAGTAGGATCCAACCTGAAGTTCCTCTGACTCCCTAGGTCAGGACAACTCACTTGTTTAACCTTTGCAAGGATCTTCTCTTAGTACCAGTACCTCAGAGAACTGTAGAATCAGACTGGTTTGGGTTGGGAAGGACCTTAAAGATCACCCAGTTCCACCCCCTGCCATGGGCAGGGACACCTTCCACTAGCCCAGGTTGCTCCAAGTCCTGTCCAACCTGGCCTTGGACACTTCCAGGGATGGAGCAGCCACAGCTTCTCTGGGCAACCTGTGCCAGGACCTCCCCACCCAGCCAAGAATTCCTCCCCAATATCCAATCTAAACCTACTCCCTTTCAGTTTGAAGCCATTCCTCCTTGTACATGCCCTTACAAACTCCTCGGCTTCCCCATGAAGATTTTTAGATTGTTCGGAAGGGGATTTTTTGGAGGTAAAATTGTAAGTAATCTCTTGCAGTGAGAATCTAGTTAATGGCTGTAAATACCAGCCCACTGCCCTTCCCTCTGCCTGGACAGGCACACTAATGTACATCCCCAGTGGCTGGGGAGTAGCTGGGCTGCCTCACTTTTGCCATCATCACATAATGTACCCACTGGAGATATTTTCCTGCCAAGTACCTGCATCTCCACGTCCTCTGAGCAGTGGGGAGGCTTCTAGAGAGGTGCTGAGCAATTGTTAATGTCAGTTCCTGGTGTTCCTCTGGAGTTATCCATCCAGCACTTCGTGCCTCCGTCTCTGCAGGGATGGGGAAAGGGAGACACCGCCCCGAGCTCGGAAAAGTGGACAGACTTGCTCCACTGCAAGGTACCCTGTGCTGCAGCTGCCAAAACCCCCGAGGGGACACGACCCCTGGAGACTTGCCTTCAAGCCTGGCCCAGCCCAGGCCTGGGGAGGTGCCGTGGTGAGCGCTGGTACCGGGGCCAACCCGCCCGGGGCAGGGGGGGCTCGGCTGTTCCTTGGAGCCATCACTGGGAGGAACCAGCAAACGAGCTGGGCTGCTTTGTGACTCCTCACCAAACCTGCCCTGGGCTCCCCCAGGTGTCATCCTGCCTGAAACACCTCCAATGACCCCCCTGAGAACAGTTTTTCCAGACAGCATTTGCAATACACCCACTTGTAAAACAGGTGATGCCGCTTTTGGCAGGACATGATGCTCCAGCAAAGCTGCTCAGAGACAGAAAAGTTCCTAACCTGTCTATCAAATTGTTGAAGGAAGACTTAAGAAACACATCTTTTTTTTTTTCCTAATTTATTTTAAATTATACTGTTATATCCTGATTTTCAGTTAGTATTTCTCCTTGTTTTAGAGAAGGAGCCTGGATCTGAGACATCAGCCAGCCTTTTGCTGGATGACACATCCCTAATGAGGCTACAGAAGAAGAGCAGGGGTCTTTAGCAGAGTATTTTTAAATATATGCAGGTTTCCCACAATGGGCTATTCTTAAAATCAAGTGCCAAATCCCTATTAAAAATTAAACCTTTAAAACAAACACCAGTCATGTCCCATCCATTTGCTGGGGAAACCATCAGTCTTGACCATCAACAGAGGAAAGTTTGCAGCTACTCTGCCAAACGCCCCCCACATAAGGAGGAGGAATTCCAAAGGTGATTTGCAGCTTTGCCTTTCCCCCAGCCAGTCACCAGGTAACGTTTGGGAGCCAGCACTGCCAAGCTGAAAGCTCTGCTGCTGCCAAGCTGCTTGGAAAAGGTCAGTCAAACTCAGTAATGAAGCCATTCACATCACCAGCACACAGAGAATCCAAGTGACAGGCAGTTCTGGGAACAGCAGTCCTTGTGCTGCACATGCCACAGGATCTGTCAGCAACAGCCCCCATTTTTCATTTGCCCCTTGTCCTGCTGAAGAGAATCAGAATAAATCAGGGAGTCAGGATGGGAAGTTATCTGTCCATATTTCTTCTGCTCCATATCAGGCCAGAACCATGTTTGGAGGCTTTCTAGGAAGAGATTCAGGCAGGAATTCCCTCGTTCCATGTGCCACAGCACACGCTGAGCACACAGCACTGCATCCCTGCTTCCATCCTGCCTGGAAACTGGGACACACCCCCAGAGCTGTCCTCTTCCCTCTCCACACTGGCGTCTCTGATGTCTCATTTCAGTCACTTCTTGTCCATGGTGTGTCAGGAAGAAGCATCTCTTCATTTCTTGGGAGCCACAGGAAATCCTCTTAAAAGCAAATGCCGTGATGACAATTCCTGAGGATGTCACACACTGTCCCCCAGGGATGGTGCCATATGTCACCTTGCAGCAGGTGCAGCTGTGGTGGCTCTGATGGACCTGTGGAGATCTTGGCTGGATCAAGCATCACTCCGTGAATTATCTTTCCCCTGATAAACAAATCCATATAAATACACATACACACAGATTCATACAGACATTATACAAAAATGCAGATATATTGTGTAAAATAAATGATAGCACTGGACATGAAGATGGGTTACTGAATACCTGGAATAATGAAAGAAGGCAACAATATAATTTTTCCTCCAGGAGATGGGTATTTAACAAAATTACAATTTAAACATTATTTATAGGGCAACCTTGTCACCAAAACCTCTCGCAGCAGAAATGAATTAAGGCTCATCCATCACGAGCAAATGTTGCTGCTCCAGTCTGCTCTGGGGCAGTTCTGTACCAGACCAGGCAATTTCCCAGGATTTCAACAATCACCTGGAGCTGATCCAACCTGGGCTGGGCGGGGAATCACCCTCCTGCACGGGCACCCCAGATGGAGTCAGCACCACACTGAGGGAATCTGGAACTGCCTGATTCAGACAACCAAACTCAGCTCCCCAGGGCTTGTCTCCCCTGAGAAACCAGCCGGGATGTGAACGATCAGGATGTGAGTTTTCAGCACCACCAGTGTTTGTGTTCAGTCCTCCTGCTCCCGTTACAACTAATTGCTCCCAGTTCAGCCCAACCCAGTTCCCACAGTGACCTGGGCCCAGGGACATGAGGTAAATTCAAAGCAGATGAAGGTGTGCTGATGGAAATTAGTGCAAAAAGCTGCAACCTGGCAGTATCAACTCTGCCTGCTCTTTCAGACATTCCAGATGGGTCCTTGGACATATTTCCTTTTGAAGGCAGGAGTGTCATCTTCCTTCACTTCCTACCCACTCTCTTATTTTAAGTAATGAATCACATGTTTTACTTTTTCCTCTTTCTCTCTTATGAAGCTGAAAACACACATCAAGTTCTTCTAGTCCTTCAAAGTTCCAGACTTTTGCAACACCAGCAGCAAACAACATCTGCTGCTGTGAAATGTTATTTTATCATTGCCAAGTGCCATTTGGCATAGAAAAATGACACTTCTGATTTCTTAAAATGTTCCCCGTGTGCTAGACCTTGGTTTTTCCCTAATGAGCAAATTCCTTTCTGATATTCAGAAATGAGGGACACCTTATACTCTGAAATTTCAGGATTAACTGGAGGTCACATCCAGGATGGCTGGATGTGAACCTCCTCGACCATGGAGGAAGTGAGAAGGCTGTGCACAGCGTTGGATCATTTTTGTCAGGGAAAGATGATTGTATAGGCTTTCATAACAGAACATGAGACTTTGGAAATTATTTCTGTGTGGGGAAAAATAAAAATGACGGGGAAAAACCAAGCAGCAAAGTGCCCCAGAGCTGATGGCATGTCCCCAGAGCAGCGTGCCTGGCAATTCTCAGCCTGCTGTGGATGCTGCACCAGCAACTCTTCACCCTGAGGCTTCAGGCACTGTCAGGGAGATGGCAGAGACAATGATCAACAAGTACAAATTTGGGCAAATTTTGTGAGGAGCTGCTCCATTGTGCAGATGAAGCCATTAAATCCAGTCTATCCCACAGAGGAGGGATTTGTTCTGGGGCAGCTCACCCACACCCAGCTGCCAGGAGTCATGTTCCCCCCCCCATCTTCACATTTTTCTAAGATTCTTCCCACCCTCACGTTTTATAAGGTTCTTCCCCGGTGTTAAAAATCTTTCTGGACTTGGGGGAGAGAGTTTCCCAGTCGAATCCTATCAGGAAAGTGCCTTTTACAGGCAGAAAATTAATGCCCAGCTCGAAAGCAGAAAAATATGAAAACTCAAGAGGAAACAGAAGGTAGGAAATCCAGGAAAATAATCGCCCACTTGGCCAGGCTGAAAGCAGCAGATTGCTCTGCAATCTTATCCAGGCTGCATGCAAGTATCCAAGTTTTCTCCCTTGGAACTGTAAAGTAATCAATACCTACCCACTTGTGAACTTCAGTGGAGATAATGAACTGGCACATATTTATAGCAAAAGCCACGGCACATTAGGTATTCCAAAGGACTTATGTAAGCATCACTTTCCTTAATACAGCTTTAGAGAAAATGCTTTAAGAAGCTTTATCAGCATAAAACATATTTTGAATTTAATGGAAATTAGTAATTGGCATGGCAAAGTCAAAGCCATCGAAGTGGAATGGCTTAACCCTGTTGGACAGTATTTTGCACTAACTATAATGGTTAATCTGCCAGCTGAGAGAGGAAAATTCTCTTCTATTGTCAAAGGCAGTGAAACAAAGGAGGAAATTTCTGCAGCTGATGCGGATTTCTGGAAATAAATGGAATGTGGTAAGTTCTATGGAATAAGGTCTGTTCTTCAAAATGAAACCAGTTAAACCTAAACTGAGGGAACTGAATCAGAACAACATCCCTGTGACTGAATTAAGCTCTGGGGTTTAGTTTGACCTCAGCCTGTACCTCCTGAACAGGTATTTTCTCCTAACCAGGCCCAAGAGGGGTGGTTTGAAGTTCCCATAAAAGTCTTTTTTTGCACCTTTTTCTCAACCATTCAGTAATTGAACTCCAACATACATTTTAAATACAAATGGCAGAGCCTAAGGCTTGGATTTCCCTCCAGGAGTTTGTAGCAGAGAGTCCCTGCAGAGGTCAGGGCAGAATATTGTCCTGTGCTGTCACACATTCCTGAATCTGCCCAATTAAACGTATGAATTAAACAGACATTTACACGTGGAAAAGCTTGACAAGGCTTTGTGGAGTTTAATTCACACCCTGAAATTTGTTGAGCTTTCTCTCTTACTCTGCCATTCTTGCAAAGAGCACCCAACCCCACTCACCAGGAGACGAATTTAGAAGTTCCTCTCTCTTGGGTCCCTGGATAATTTTGTGCTTTACAGAGTTGTTTGGGGTAGTTAAGGGCACCTCAAGCTTGGGATGCATCTTTCTCTAGCTACATGCCAGTTGGCAGTAATCATTCCCTCACAAATTCACTTCCCTGCCAGCATCAAATATATCTCAATTAACAACTAGGAAACAATGATCTTTGCCAGCCAAACCAAACAATTTTTGCTTAAAACCAACAACTCACCTTCTAGCTTCCCCCTACCAAGGGTTGTAAGTAAAGTTTCTTATTTATCCTAAATTCAACTAACCTGTGGATACTCCTGGGCTGGGCACAGCCCCCTCCTGGCCAATCCTTCTTGCCCCTCCTTTACCCTCAGGCTGCCATGGTGTTACACAGACTTCCTGGAGCTGTTTAAAAAAAGAGATCATTTTGAATCACAAGACTTTGCCTGAATTCTTCTCTTTTCTGACATTTATCACCTGCTGAATTTTCGGGTTCTTCAGTAGAAGTAGCAACCATGTCAAAGCAAGAGTGGTTACCAAGGCTTGTTGAGTTCCAAACAAAAGCCCAAATCCCACCAAATCCCACAGGACTTAGAAAGGGTGAAGATTTGTAGCCTACTAAAATCCAAGATCAAATGAAAAATCCAGCTTCTCTAAAATGATTCATTTCCCTTCAACAAACTGAAACTGCTCTACCTCTGAGGTTTTATTGTAGTGTTCTCAGCCAGCTGTAATTTCTGCTTTTTATCTATATAATTTTCTTTTGTTATAAAACCGTGAACCCTGAGAAACACACTGTCCACATATCACTGTCTTCCACAGCCTCCAACACTGATCTGGTGATTGAATCTTCCACAGAAATACTCCTCACTCTCCATCACGAACTCCTTGGGGCAAGGAATGATTTTTCCCTCTTTTTGTGTGTTGTGCCTGACACAGCAGGGGCCAGATTCGCATTAAGCAGCACATAATAGGATCTACAGCATAATGAGTGATAACAAGCAGAGTGGTAAATGATGTAGTTTAGTGGATACTCTCCCTGTGGTTCCCTGTCATCAGCTTTTTATTGAACAGGTTTGTCCCCACAGTTTCTTACAGATCTAAAAGTTTCTATCATTATGCCCCTCTGGGTCTCTATTTAATGCTTTTCTGCTGTAGCTCCTCTTTTCCTGTCCCTCTTTCTCAGCCTGTTCCAGGGATTGGGGGACTGTGATCCTGTTTATCCTTTTGTTTGGTTTCCCCTTTCCTTTCCTGCTTCACTTCCCAGCTTGCTAAGCAGTGTGGGCAAAGTGCTTCTGAAGGCCAGCATGGGACAGAGAAGCAGATTTACCCCTAAACCAGAGCTGATCCTCACAACAGCCCTCCTGCTTCCCCCACCCCCTAAAAACTGAACCCTTCTCAAAGCACATCGCTGCCAAGTCTTCCTGAACCTTCATCAGCACCCACTCAGGCTCCATTTGGGATATTCCTTCCACACTGACACACCCTAAATGAGAAGTGCTGCATCTGCACCAGCTCCTGCTCCTTCCACCTTCAGTCCTATGTTTCAAAACACACAGCAGGACCTAATACAAGGCTTATATTTCAATTAGTCATGTTCCCCTTGTCCATCTGCCACCTCTTTGCTTCGGTCTGGCCCACCCAGCCCCCAAATTCACAGCACTCAGTGCAGAGAGTTAATCAAATCCAATCTCTCAGCACAGTCTCCAGCATTTGCTGTTCCATATTTGGATCCCAGCACAGGCTGCTCAGTCCCAGCCTCATCCCCCTTGTTTGTACCACAGCTCCCATTAGATCAAATGAAGGGCTCAATTAATTAATTTGTACCCGAACTGGAGAGTTCCGTGTGCATCGTTAGGAATAATCAAAATATCTCTGCTCTGTGTGGGAACATCTGCTGACTGTGTCAGCTCATCACAGTTGTTATTTGCAGGGCAGCAGCAAACAGGACCCCCAGCTCACCTTGGGAGCTCCTCTCTGCAGGTCAGAAGCAGGTGAAAGATGCAGATGAATAAATGGAGAGACAGGAGAGCAAAACAGGGAAAGACAGGAAAAATTCCACGGTTTATACCAAGCATTCCTTTGAATAACACTTACATGAGTGTGGTTTTCACTAGTAACACTTTAAAAGCTTCAAATTTAAAGAAAAATAATTAATCACAGTATGTTCACCTCTATCAGGCTTACTCATTTTTTGTAAGAGAATCTCTCAACACTTAGTAGATTCTACAG